CCCCAAAACCCCAAAACCCCAAAACCCCCATCAATTTAAATAATGTCAATATTTTTAGGTAATTATTTAATCAAAAGTATCTGAAGTTAATTTAGTAATCATTATTTTTGGGATTAATATCACTGAGGTTATTTTAATCAGCCTGAACTCTTTTTAAATCAAACATACTTTCATCATCTTCTTATATTTTTCTACCCAATCTAAGATCTTATTCCTCCTCTTCATCATCTTGCTCTTCGTATAAGTAAAACTTGTTTGAGGATGAAGACGATCTAGACTTATTGTGTAAAGTCTCTTGCTTATCTTTCAACTACTTCTAAAGCATAATAAACGAACTCACGTTTTCATACATGTAGTCTCTATGATCTATTTCAAGCAGATTTCTGATTTAAAATGAATTCAAATACCGCAAGGGATTATCCTATATGATTGATACACATTCCTCAAAACTTAAATCTCCTGCATACATATTGTCTATGTGGAGTTTGAAGACTTATATTAATTAGATTTGCTTCACAGCATCAAGTCTGACGCTATATGCTTTCTCTATTTTAATATCTTGAAATTCAACATTGATAGTAATCTCAAGATGAGCGATTTCATCAAAGATCCCTAACTACTTGATGCTAAAAACCTTGATGCAAGAATATAGCAAATCTTTGTTATTAATCAGACATTCTTGTATATCAGTTAACTTCTCATAAATATTTGTGTCATGAAACAGGTATTGATTATCTTTAAATAACCTCAAATCATTTAGAATTTCTTCATATTCATCTTTGATTTGATCTAAGTTTATCAGTTTATAGGTTTCAAAGTATTGAATAAATATTATGTCTTTGAGTATCCTGATATTATAGCCTTAATCGTCTATTACTTCAATAGCTGAGACTTCAAATCGCTTTTGAGTAAATAGAAATAGCAGAGTATTCTTCACTTTCTTATGTTATGTTAGTTCATTCCTATACAATTGCATGAGACTTAGTTGGTGATTGTGAAATTCTATTATTTTTTGCTAATTAAAGAAAGGAACTCCCAAGAAATTTAAGAATTCATTTGTCATTCTTTCATTTAATAGCTTGACTTGTAATTAATGGTCAAGCTCTTACATAACTATATTAAACTAGTTTATTTGCTCTGTAATACTAAGTCTAGCAATTGGGAAGTCTAGCTCTATACCAACTTTTTCAAATTCTTCCAGACTCCTATTGATTTTTTTCACTGGCCTTTAATTTATTTTTGTGACCAGTTAGAACAACAACTTGCCATCTATGATCTTGAAAGAGATAATTTTTGAAGATATATTGTAAGTTATCTGTTCCTTTGGTCGAGCTGTCGTTGATCCAAAGTTATTTATTTACTAGTCTTTTTTAGACTAACTACTTGGTGATAATAGATTAGATGACTAATACTTAGGGATAAACGACTCTGTTAATTTCTTTATTTTCTTAGAGTAAGGAAAATCCTTGGGTTTAAGCATGACCAAAGCTAAAAATACTATTGAAATGATTACTTCTGCTAGTAGAATTTTTAATTCCAGATCATTTTAATTGCTCAGCTATTCGTTGGGATTTTGAAAAAAGGACTCCTAAACTAAAAAGTAAGTGGCGCTAGCTAGTAAAAATATATGAAAAGTGAAATGAAATGTCCAATCATGATGAATAGCTCTTCTCAAATCAAAAATAAGAAAAGGGCCATAGCTCACCCAGGCAGCAACTTCCATTATTATAAATAGATACTCTGAAATTCCCCCTATTTAAAACTCAATAAACTCATAGGTATTTAAGAAAATCAGAGATATAGCAAGTATGATTTTAAGCTTAGTAAACCATCGGAGTTTCCATTTGATATTGAAGGTGCCAACATTCACAAAATTGAGGTATCTTTTGGCAGCCAAAAAGAAGTAAATAATATAGGGGAGGCATTTGATGATAGTATTTATAATCATAGTATATGTTCCAGAGTCTTAGTTAGTCATAGATAAGTTATTACAGCTGTCAGCGATACTCTCACTTTTAATACTTTAAATTTCCATTAATAAATAAATTTAAGTCACTTTTACTTCCGTTCAACTTCAATATTTTTAACTTCGGGGTTTTGGGGTTTTGGGG